GTCATTACCGTTGAGAGGTAGGATGGAGGTGTTGATTTAGTTGTCATTTGTAACAGGTGATTGAGGTCATAGGTGACGTCTGATAAGGATCGGTCTGCTAACTTGATATCGTAGTCGGAGTTTAGATTTCTCTTTTCTTGGGTTTGTGATTCTAGGAGACGTTTTTGAAGTATTTGAAGTTCAGTTTGATTTAAAAGTTGTTCAATTTGCGGAACTACTAAGTGTTGTGCTATCTCAAGTTGTAAGGTTGATTGTCTTTGAAACTGTGAGGTGAGAACGATTCCTGGACCTTGTACATGCATTTGGAAGGACTAATCATCCCGGTATAATTTAATTTGTGAGTTGTAGATATATAAGGTGATTTCTGAGGTCTAGTAGGACATCGGATAGTTAAGGTGAGAGATTCAGGTGTGGAATAAATCCAGGTTCGTTGTTCATTTATTCTCTTAAAGATAGGAGCATATCTTTCGACGATTTGTCGAGTACAGAGGTCTTTAACTTGGGTTTCGATTCCATTAAATAGAGCATACCCACAACTTCGTTGAGGAAATCGTTGTATGGGAACGTTTAATGAACAAATAGGAAAGTGGTCTATCTTGCACATAGTGAGTTCGAATCGTTGGAGTAACATATACGATTGCCTATCCATAGACAGAGCAATAATAGGATATTCTGGCTTAAATTGGAAAAAGGTTTTTAATGTAGGGATGTATGTTGGAAATTTGACAATTTCGTACATATCAAAATATCCACTAGGAGTGATTAAGGGGATTTTGGCGAAAATTCGTAGTTTCCCAGGTAGAGCTACAGCAATGGTAGTTATCCATTGGTAATATTTAAACAATGTATCGGACTTGATGGGTTCGATCATGGCATAGCCTTCCTGAAGTTGGAGTTGAATGTCTCGTAGAGTTTGTAACATGATTTCTCGTGAGATAAAGTAGGTGCTTAATCGACCTTGTTCTAAAATATCAATTGCTTCTCGTAGTTCTACTAATTGGAAATGTAATTCTTGGACTGAGAATTCGATTGTTCGTAGAATTATTTCAAAGGCTAGGTTATATTGGTATAAATTCATGATTTCTCCAAAATATTCTTGTCGTTTAAATAATATATAGATCTGGGGTCTATTTTGTTTGCTTATATTTAGGGTATCATTTTTAATAGAGTTGTTTGAGAGCGCAATAAATGACGAATTCCTTCGTTACGCTGTTTAAGATTCTTTCCCACTGAAACAGGGTAATATCATTATTAATGCCAAAAATAAGGAAATGGATTTAATTGAAACACCTCTTCTATATTTTATCTGACCTCTATTTGTCTCATACAATTAATGCCCTATTAATATGCTACAACTCAATTTCTAGACCTACGGTGAGAATGATCGATTAGAAGTAGGTGAAGTAAATCGTGAAGAATGATCACGTGTAGGTCGAGACATCGATGGAGTTGGACTTGCTCCTTGGCGTCGGAATATATATGGAGAAGTTATTTCTAGTTCTCCTTCCGGTTCCGATTCTACGCTTTCTAGATTAAGTTTATCACTCTCCATTTTACTTTCCATATGTTCTTCCGGTAATGGAGGAAGGATGGATGACAAAATAGATTCATCCCAAGGATCGCTAATCAATGGTGGTTCTTCTTCCGAAGTTTCGATAGGTGATTCGAGGGTAAAGTCCGTGTTACCTTGCTGGGTTCTAAGTCGTTTGATTTGTCTCTCTCGTAATCTCCGGTTCGGTCTTTTCTTCCGGGTCCTCGTCCGGGTTTCTCCGGTTTTTATTTCACTTCGGTCAGAACCGATGTCCGAATAGTCCTGAATTTTCTCCCATTTATTTAGGGGGTTCTGCCCTCTCTTCCTTCGGCGAGGCCGTAAGGGTGTGCAAAAATGGATAACTTTACCATCGGATAATAGCATCTGTCTATTCGCAAAATCGAATGTTAGGTGCGCCTCATGAATAAAGTCATTTCCTACAATTCCGTCACATGGGGCCGTAACCTCATCTCTTACGACAGCCCATCGTCTCTGTCCAAACTTAACGTAAGCCTTTTTTCTCAATCTGTTTGCCAAATTCTTTGATATGAGTGTAATATCCATTCTAGGATCGACTCGTACCTTCACTGGGATATTGTTAATATAAATTTGTATGATAGGATTTTGAGTTTCAACGGTTCGGGTGGACCCTATTCTGCCTTTCCACCTTGTCTCGTTCTCATCGGTAGGATAATAATCAAACATAGCCTCATTTGGAGACGTTGTATATTCGGTGTTACATATAGGACACATATTTCGATTTCGTGCAGGAAAAGTTTTATTGATATGCCGATGTTGAGCTATAGGAGATCTTCGCTTCGGCTTACTTGTAAGGAAAGGTAAGTTAGTATCGCTTCTAAGCTCAAATTGAGGTCGTCGACCTTTGATACTTTGCACATTGCCTTTCCAACGGTTTTGCATTGTGTCCGCACGTTGTGCTCGGAAGCGGACACGGTTTTGGTCAGGTCTTGCGTCACTTCGCTGTGGGGAGTCGGTGCGTGGGCGTGCGCCTCGATTATTATTATTATTCTCTCGGCGATCAGGAAAATTTTGTGTCCGATTTTGGTTAAATTGGTTATTCGGGAGCTCGGATCGGCGATTCAGCCGACGATATTCGCTACGTCGAAAAGGTGGAGTGTTGTAGGATTGATTGGAAAAATTCCCGCGCTGATTTTGATTGGCCTGCGCATTTCTAGAAGTGATCCGAGGGGAGGCTCTGGTTAAACCGTCCATACGCATTTTCAGCTCGTTCATCGGTGCCGTTAGTTGTTGTAGATCATTGAATGAAGGAGAGGAAGTTGCTGACCGGTCTCCTTCTCNTATATTTTAGCTCATTGGAGATAATTTTCAACTGTAATTAAGTAAAACGTTATTTCCTTAAATTGATACTTCTGACCAGTAGACATTTCTTACAAAAATTACTTAAGTATTAAAACGCTTGCGGGATAAAATTCCTGGGGATTTCTCCACCCGTCCGGATTCGATTCCGGATGCCCCAAATCGGTAGGTTGCCACCGTTGACCGGTCGGCCACCCGGCCTTCCGATTTTGTTTCGGTAAAAAGGATTAATAGAAAAAGATTTTCTGTTTATAAAATGGCCTACTCGACGTTTCGAGATCCGCCAAATCCAAAAAGTCAAAAGAAAAAAAATTCCGCGCGTGTGTATTTTGGAGGGACACACGTTCCAATAAACATCTTACTAGCGAGGACAGATTTTTAGTCTCCCCTCTATATCAAAAACAATGCGCAGGACAACGTATTCGCATTAACAAAAGTGGGTCCCCGAATATCAGCGTAACCAGAATCGATTTACACGTGTGAAGCTCGTGTCTCAGCTGTACCCATTAAATGTTGCCACTGCGCTTTTGTGAATAAACATCCTCGTCCTTCGATTCAAAAAGACATTCGGAACGAATTTCTACGAGTCTAATAGCTGCGACAGATCTTCAATAAAAGAAAAATAAATAAATAAAAATAAGAAAATATAAGTTTGTGTTTGTCTGCCCTGCCAGGGAGGAAGGCGATTTGTAGGAAATTTTGTTAGCGTTATTAGGCTAAACGGGATTTAATAGGGACACTTCGACACGAAAATGCATTTCATGTATAAGAACAATATGTAAATTAAACAAGTAAAACGGCGAAGCCATTCTCGGGACGAGACTATGTCTCGGAGAGTGCGAGCAACTCATGCACAAATCTCGCACTCGCGCCTGTTTTTAGAAACAGTCTTAACATTTTGTATTTTATTTTGATCCGGTTCTCGGTCCCCGGATTACCTACAAATCTGGTTTCTTTTATGTGCGCATGATTTGGGCACCAAATACTCTGTGCCAAATTGCAACTCGCGATATGTACTCCTTCATTCCTTCCCACCTCTAAGGTGTGCAGCCGTTGACAGCAGCGCGATTTCGTAGACGAGACATAGTCTTGTCAATTATAAAATGATTGGATACGAAATAATTGAACGAATAGACAATCCAAACAATTTACATTGTACAATAATAATATCTGATCAATTGTTGGAGATACACGTAAAAAATGGCAGAGGACGAACTAGATATGCTTGACGTCGAATGTCCTATTTGTTTGGATGTTTACATCGACCCGGCCGTCCTGACGTGCGGCCATCTCTACTGCAAGTCTTGTATCGAGAGTGTAAAAAAAATCACCAAAGTTTGTCCGACGTGCCGATCTCCGATAAGCAAAATTATAGAGAGAGACGATCGGGTCAAGAAAATAAAGAAAATCATAGCCACACATTACGTCATCTGTCCTTTGTGTGGGAAAACAACTCTGTTATCCGGACTACGTGAGCACAGGACAGCGTGCGAAGAGGCCGCCGAAAATTCCAACGAGAAAACCTCTGCTTGTAATCATTCGATGTCCAAAATCATTCGATGTGCACTGGATAAATGCTCGCTCGCTTACCCGCTCTTTGACGAGATGATTGAGTGGTTATTATATCCATGGTCATTTAGCCAAGTGTTTTTGTTTTTTTGGACCTGGGAAGTCTACGATTGGTTGGCGTCGGTAATGCTTTCGTTGTGGGACTACGTCGTCCAGTGAAAAAATGTGGCAAAATCGAGACGTTCACGACATTTAAAAAAGACGCGGACGAAAATTTAAATGATTCATTTTTGAATAGAAATAACGCTTCGTTTCGGCAAATCAAAATGAAAAATTTCTGAATTTTGAATAATTAAAATTTGATTCTATAATTTACGAATAATTTCTTTATTTGCAACAAGGGGGAAAAACACGTTACTCGTGTTTAGATCCTTTGTACACTTGTTCGTATAACAATTTTTTTATATTTTAACGGGCAATTATTTATCGTGACGTAGTCACAATGTCGGGCTGCAATTTTTAATCGTATTTTTAATTTAAAATATATGTTTCCCGCCTCAAATTAGTAGTGAATTGGCCCCGTACATCATACTTTTTCCTTTCTTTTTAAATCTTTTCGCTCTGTGGTTATTAAGAGGGCCTTTTTATAGCAAGACCATTACGGGTTCGGCGGGGTCATAATGGAGTGGACGGGTGGTGAGGGCGGGGACCCGATATATCTCGACGGCCACCTCTCGAAAAATTTCTGGGGATATTCCGACGCGTCTGGATTTGATCCCGGGTCACCAGAGCGGTAGATTACCACCTCGACCGCTCGGCCAGCCTGCTTTTATATTTTTCCTGTTAACAATGGAGTCGTTCCGTCATTTATTTAACTCTTTTCGGGAGAACATTTTTGAATTGAAATAATGTGACTTCCGATTTGTACCGAAAATTCTTATGTAGTTAATCGGGGCCATCCGCCTCTAGTCTTTTCATATCTATTCTCGGCTTTCGTTTACCTAACTCATTTCTGGACATAAGAAAGGACGGACAGACAGTGGGAATTTATAAATCTACAGTTTAGTAAATTTTATTTTAAAAAAATTTATTAAATAATTTTAATATTTAAAAACGATTCGTTTATTTAAAAAATTAATATTTATAGTAATAATAATAATTATATCAATAATATTTTTAAAAAAATTCTCGAGTTTCGTGCAAAACACGACAGAGGGCGTAGAGACAGTGGAAAGTGTATTCCTGATGGGAAAGGCCTGGAAATGAAAGTTTTTAATAACAGAAGAGAAAATTTCGAAATTATTTTAACTTAGATGCTTTAGTAGTAGTTTCAGCTAGTATTAAATTATTGCTGAGTAAGTTAAATATTTATTAATTCCTGATATTATTAAATTATTTTAAAATATGCTTCTGCTTATAAATGGACATTTAATAGTTTGGGGGGAGTACTTCAAAGTATATTCGATAACTTTGCTAGTGGCCTACATTAATTAGATTGTGTATATTCAGCTTTTCTTTGCTTATTCGACCGAAAACATTGCTGAATAATTTCTCTGTAAATGATATAACGCGGGATGTCTGTTTATATTGCTATATTCACTCCACCAGTTTAAATGGTACGTAACTCAATCTCTTCGACACTATCGTCTCTTTTGGTCGAATATTGACCAAAATGACAGCTTAAGAACTTTAGAAATGAACTAAATATCTCGGGAGCCTGGTCCTCTGATCACAACTGGTGATTCATCATCATTTTGATGTTAATCGGACTGTCTTACGCGTGTGTAGTATGAATAAATGCGTGATATAACAACCACTTGTTGATATTATTAAACTTATTTTAAAATCAGATTAGCTTCGTCATAAATTGAAATTTTACTGATTTAATTGTATATATACAGTATAACTAACAGATTATTTGAGGTATCTACGAGGAAAAAGATACCTTTCTGTTAACGGGATGATGGCCGATATGGTAAGATTCGAGTTCCGAACGAGGGGTTTTGCACCACCGTCGGAATTGTTGACCCTTTGTGAGATATTTGCCTCCAAAGATGAGTTTTTAACGTGTCGGTATACTGCTTATTCTCGTGCTTTACATGTAGTCGTGCACTTTGGTGCTTGCTATTACTTGCACGTCGGCACCTGGACACGTCCCCTAAAACTATGGGTATGTTCATAAAGTCGAACGAGTTAAATGCATTATTAACAAGTCAGTTACAAGTACAAATTCCATTCGGTGTGCATGCTCGATGTTGGTGACGTTTCAAACGAAACTAACTAAATTCATGAAGGAAAGAGTTAGTTTATGTTGTTAAGAAAACGGCGCCTGGCAATATCAATGTTTCTAGTTGTACTCGAGTGTTTAAATTGTAGATTAAAAGGTGAAATGATAGAAATAACTGTCTGTCCGAAGCAATCTAAGAAAAATATTTCAAATAAGACTGCACTATCAACATATGCATCTTTGATTTTACCAACAGTCATTTTGTTATAAATGGATTGGTCGAAAAGTTTGAAATAAGAATAACGATGACGTCATTCTCGTTTAACTTGTTCGACTTTACAAACATACCCTATATAACATCAAGTACTCCATGCACAGTTGAGTGGACTACTCAAAGCCACTTAGACTAAATAGTTAAATGTGATAGTTTTAGTGGAATGATGTGGACGATGATATCGTGCATTGGATTAAAGTTACAACCACCATCCCGCTAATGAAAAATGAAATGTATGTATATATATATATATATGAGCTGCTTGAGGAAACATAATGGTAAGCACTATTGCCAATGCCCAAAGTGTGATCTTCTGGCTCTTGTTCCATTATGAAACTAGAGTGAATGTTCACCTAGTTAGCCCCAATGATGGCACCTCCGTTATCGGAATGACGATTGTTTACACTACTTTTTTAGCGAAATCAATGTTTTATTTTGTATTTTTTATATAAATCACACCACCCCCATAATTGTTGACCCTTTGCATGATATTTGTCTTTGAAGATCAGTTTTTAATACGTATCAGTCTACCCACTATCCTCCACGCTTCACATATAGGCATGCGCTTGGTGCTCACTATTGCTTACACCTTACCACCCGGGTGGGCCGAGCCCCCACACCCCCATAAAACTATATAACATCAAATACTCCATGACACAGCCAAGTGTGCTACTTGAAGCTGGCACAGTTGTGTGGGCTAAGTTAAACACGATACCACCATTGGGGCTATCTAGGTGAACATCTACCCTAGAGGGATTGTAAAACACTTTCAGTAAAAAAGTTGATGTCAGAATAAAATTAGTCAGATTTATAGTTCAATCACAATTTTATTTTTGCTGTATTCTAAAACTTTCATTTTGGTGTTTATCAATTTATTCTCCTGAGCAGCTCATGTATGCACAGTATATGTATACAAATATAATAAAATGAGTATTATCAATTTCAATGATTACAATAATATTTTATCATGGTATTTTTGTGACCTTGTGAGTATTGTATAGTCTATTTTTTGCAAATAATTTTATTATATTACTGAATAGATGAAATATGCACATTTTTTTAATAAGTATGGATTTGAAGGTGGTTTGAACCTTTAATGATGATAATTTGATTTTATTACAATGTCTAAAATGTTTTTAAATTTAAGTATAGATTTTTCTTAAAGAATGAATTTACTTTGTCACTATTATTAAAAGTAAATAAATACTANTACATCCACCACATATTTTATTTCACCGAGTAAGTTTTTATTATTTTATTTTTAATTGTAGCCCTTATGCTAGCGATTTGTAATGTAATTGTGATATTAAAAATGCATTTAGAGAAGTCTACGGTTTTTACTGGCTTATCGAATAAACGATACGAATGGACCCTAGACCATCACTGACGCGCAATTGACTGATTGCCCCTGGATGTCGGCTTCTTACAGAAACACAGCTTCCCTATAGTCAAATGTCACGGCACGCTCCTGCTTTTCTGTTAACGGGATGACGGCCGATATGATAAGATTCGAGCTCTGAACGAGGGGTTTTGCACCACCGTTGGAATTGTTGACCCTTTGTGAGATATTTGCCTCCAAAGATGAGTTTTTAACGTGTCGGTATACTGCTTATTCTACGTGCTTTACATGTAGTCGTGCACTTTGGTGCTTGCTATTACTTGCACATTGGCACCTGGATGAGGCGAGCCCCTAAAACTATGGGTACGTTCATAAAGTGGAACGAGTTAAATGCATTACTAACAGTCGGTCACAAAGTACAAATTCTATTTGGTGTGCATGCTCAATGTTGGTGACATTTCAAACGAAACTAATGAAATTAATGAAGGAAAGAGTTAGTTTACTTTGTTAAGAAAACGATGCCTGGCGATATCAATGTTTCTAGTTGTACTCGAATGTTTAAATTGTGGACTAAAAGATGAAACAATAGAAATAATTGTCTGTCCGAAGCAATCTAAGAAAAAACGTACCCTATATAACATCAAGTACTCCGTGCACAGTTGAGTGGACTACTTGAAGCCATTTAGACTAAATAGTTAAATGTGATAGTCTTAGTGGAATGATGTGGACAATGGTATTGTGCATTGGATTAAAGTTACAACTGTCATCCCACTAACAAAAAAATGAACCGTATATATATGAGCTGCTTGAGGTAACATAATGGTAAGCACTATTGTCAATGCCCAAAGTGATCTTCTGGCTCTCGTTCCATTATGAAACTAGAGTGGGTAAATGTTCACCTAGTTAGCCCCAATGACGGCTGTTTACACTACTTTTTAGCGAAATCAATGTTTTATTTTGTATTTTTTTACATAAATCACACTACCCTCACAGTTGTTTACCCTTTGCATGATATTTGTCTCCAAAGATCAGTTTTTAATATGTATCAGTCTACCCACTATCCTCCATGCTTCACATATAGGCATGCGCTCAGTGCTCGCTATCGCTTGCACCTTAGCACCCGGGTGGGGCAAGCCCCCACACCCCCGTAAAACTATATAACATCAAATACTCCACGATACAGTCAAGTGGGCTACTTGAAGCTGGCACAGTTGTGTGGGCTAAGTTAAATACGATACCACCATTGGGGCTATCTAGGTGAACATCTACCCTAGAGGGATTGTAAAACACTTTCAGTAAAAAAGTTGATGTCAGAATAAAATTAGTCAGATTTATAGTTCAATCACAATTTTATTTTTGCTGTATTCTAAAACTTTCATTTTGGTGTTTATCATTTTATTCTCCTGAGCAGCTCATGTATGCACAGTATATGTATACAAATATAATAAAATGAGTATTATCAATTTCAATGATTACAAAATATTTTA